CGGGGAAAACATGGGGCTGTGTGAACACATTGTGCCACTGCAGTGAAGCCTTGCTGCTGTGCAGCACAAGGTTCCACGGTTTCATCTTGTCTGGAGGCCTTGCAGAGACACAGAGCAGCTGAGGAAGGGTTCGGCCTGTGAGAAGGGCTTTTGTGCACCAGAACAGATGGTGTTTTCCTCACGTCTGGGATTGTGCTCTTGCCTTCTGGCAAGGGGGCAGGGGAGGTAGAAATGCCAGCATGGAAAGAGGTGAGCTTGAATGAACTGGAGCAATAGCCATCTGAGCCTAGGCAGGGCAGGTGTTTATTTAAAGGCAGCTGTCAGAGATATTTATCTCCCCTTTCCGACAGACGTTCCTGTCACCTCCACTCCGGTCACCGCGTCCTACCACGGCTGCATGACCCTCAAGCTGAGCAACTCGGCACTGGACTTAGATGAGGCTCTCTACAAGCACAGTGACATCACCTCACATTCCTGTCCTCCAGTCCAGGAGGGTCAGTAGGTACCACTGCAATGCGAAAGTTTTATACTCAGAAACTTTCAGTGCTTTTCTTTTTTTAAAAGATATAAATTATTCAGATCTACCGCACTGCGTGTATAGTTTCTCTTAAACACTGAAGTTACGTAGAAGCTACTGATCCTTATGTCAAATTGATTATTGAAATACTCTTTGCTTTGAGGTTTAAAGGTTGTAATATATTTGTAAATAGTTCAGAAGACTAATATTAAATAAGTCAAAACAGAATGTACTGAAAGTGAATACTATCTTTAGACTGTAAGAGACAGTTTCATCTGTAATGTGGGAAACCTGGTAATATATGAGTGTGGACTGGAAGAAAAATAATAATTCTGTATTATTTTTTATTACCAAACACTGCTTTCTGATTTGCAAAATATGAGAGAATAAAATATTTACATACAAGTTTTTAATTTACTTGTACTGAGATTATTCTGTATTCTGGTATTTGGAGACAGTGACTCAGACTGTGCCTGATCTGGAGGTTACACTGGATGAGGGTGGGGGAGAGGGCAAGGGCTGGGTTTTTTGGGTTTTTTTTGGAGGTTAAGGGTTGGGGGTTTATATGCTTTCATCAGTATTTCATATCTTCTCAGCTGCAGAGCAAATGGTGGCTGCTGTTCTTATTTCTAGAGCTTCTCTTTCTGGTACCACAGAAAAAGGACTCAGTTGTGACCTTTAGAAAAACTCTTGGTCAACAGAAAATGGAAAATGAAGTTGGGTCAGCAGGAAACATTTAGAAGAAAAGACTCAAGTTGAAAGCCATACAGCTTTTGTGTCAATAGCTGTTGGAGTAAATGATGAGGTGTTGAAGGTTGGGGAATATTATCTGGTGATGACATATTTTTGCTGCTGCATTTTTATGTTGGCTCATTCACTGTGAGCAATGGGAGCAAAGAGGCTTGAGCTGTGAGAGTTAGCCAGGCTGAACTGCATGAGGTGAGAATGTCTCTGGGGGTTTATGCAGGAAACGTTTTAGAGCCATAAAGTGTGTTCAGCTTTTCAGCTTTCCTTCTGAAGTTGGGATGGGGTTTGCCTAGCCTGTCTTGAGTCACTTAAGTCTTGTTTTATTTGGTCCTTTCTTGCATCAAATTAATAAACTGAGTAATCTTGGTATATGCTGCGGCGCAAAATCCAAGTATTGGGTGTCTAAGGTTATACCATCCTTCAGAGGATTAGCATGAATAAGGTCTAATTCTAAATTATTCTTGGTCAGTCATGTTATGTTCTCCCTAAGCAGATAAGGAGATACATTATCTAATAATCCTCATGTGCGGCAACATCTGCAACCAAACTGTGAAGATACAACTGTCCCAGTGGAAAAGAGGCAAGAAGGGGAAGACTATTCCAAGCATATTTTCTAGCAAGGATCCCTGCTTTATTTAGCATAGAAGAGGAAGGTACTCTTTTAGCCATTAGACATGACATCATGGCTTCTTATCGTAAATAAAACAATCAGCAGTAATGCAGTGGGGCAGAAAAGAACAGAACTTTATCACTTTGAACCAACCTACTCATTTATACTTGAAGAAGGACCTACTGTCAGCTCTGACCACACACAAGTTTGTAAGGAAATTTCCCACTAGACAGTAATATTATTGACAGATTGTCAAAACCAAAACCTAGGAGTAGTTCTATGTTTTTGCTTTTTTTTTAGTTGAGCAAGGGAAACCACGTTGTTCCTGAAAGTGCTTTATATTACCACTGATGACTCTGGATCAATTTATGATCCACTATGGGGCTGTAGTTTGGGTTGTTGCTGGAAACAATGTTGATAACTCTGGGATGTTTTAGCTATTGCTCAGCTGGGCTTGCACAGAGTCAAGAGCTTTTCTGTTTCTCACCCCACCAGTGAGGGGGCTGGGAGTGCACAAGGAGTTGGGAGGGGACACAGCTGGGACAGCTGATCCCAAGTGACCAGAGGCATGTCCCACCATATGGCCTCATAATCAGCACATAAAGCTGGGGGACAAAAGGGGAAGGGGAGGGACACTTAGAGTGATGGTCTTTGTCTTCCCAAGTCACTGTTTTCCATGTGACGTTGCCCAGCTTTCCTGGAGATGTCTGAACACCTGCCTGCTCACAGGAAGTGGTGGGTGAATTCCTTGTTCTGCTTTGCTGGTGTGTGCGGCTTTTGCTGTACCTATAAAACTGTCTCTATCTCAGCCCATGAGTTTTCTCACTTTTACCACTCTGATTCTCTCCCCAGTCCCAGCAAGGGAGAATGAGTGAGTGGCTGTCTGGGGCTGGGCTGCTGGCTGGGGTTCCACCACAAAAATCTCCCATCTTTTAGTCTTGGAGTAATTCCACTGAAAAAAATTACAGATTCGGAAGACACCTATTTTTATACCAAGAAGATGAAATGAGCCCTGCTTTACTTTGTTTTTTTCAAATGAAACAATCTAGCAAAATAGTTTCATGTCTGGTATTTTGGTAAAATCTCTGTGGTAGCTCCAAAAAAACTACCATGTGGTATAAATGAATCACAAACACGTCTAACTTTTGTGTTAATGTAAGTGCCACTATTTATGTGGCCAGAATTATTTTGGGTCCTGGAAACATGAATCCTGTGGTATGTTATGGTACTCTGCAGTTTCATACTAAATGTCACGTGTACAAGAGCATTTAATTCTCTAATTCAGAGCAGAAATTGCTCCCAAACTTTGCATATGTGTGCATGTATGTGTAGATATTTTGCATAGACCACAATGCACCCTGACTCTAAATGTGGTTTAGAAGAGAAACTCTGCATTTCTCAGTCTGCAGAATGACAGAAGAGGTGGGGGGACAAGGGGGAGCAGAGTGTAAAGATGATTTTTTTTAATATCTTACTGCAGTACCATACTGGAGAAAGGTTTGGAAGAAGAGGTAGCTGCAATAAGCATTCCTTCGTTCCTTCTCAGTCACTTGCTTCAACCCAAGAGAAACATTGACTTCATCCTTGTTCAGTTAGTCTAGGTGTTCAACCCAAAGGGATCAAGTCTGTTCTGGACTTTGAGTCCTCAAAACGGACCCTGGTGGTTCCCCTGGCAGTATTCATAGCAGGTAAAAGAAGTAAATGTGTAGCTTCGCTTATTTCATAGTCAGAGTGACTGTGCTTTTCACAGCATGTATTTGCACACGAACTAAGCATTTGGGATGCATTAAATTAATGTTTTAAACAAAACAAATGGTCTCTTTTCGGACTTCTGTTTTTCTCAGCCAGGTTCATATAACTCACCTTGTCAACAATACACATAAGGCACCTCATCACTGGCCTAAAACTTTGCATCTCAGAAAAACCTTAATTGAACAAAAGGTGGCTGTTATGGTTCATATAAATTAATTCTTCTTATGTGTATCAGTACTGGATCTGCTTTTTATACACAGAGGTAAACCACATGAATTAACTGATACTTTTTGCAAGTTGCAAAGTATTATGCAAAAGGGTGATCACTCTTTTTTCCATTTTAAGCAGGTCTGATGGTGTCTCTTCCTTTCAAAGGAAACTGTCAAGTAAGCTGGTTTTGTTTATTTAGTTTTTTTCAATATCTTCATAATACAGAGCAGCTGCTTAAAATGTTAATAAGAAATACCTTCCGTTCCCTGTTTTACTCTTTGGCATTTCAGGAAATTTCTAGAGCTTCATTGCTGTCTAGACTGTAAGATCTATGGAGCAAGCAGCACCAACACCCTTCCTGCAGGAGCAAAATGCAGAGAAGGGATGCAGCATTTAGATGAGTTTTCATGCTGTTTGTAAGTACCCCTGTCCCAAAATACGGCAGGTGTGTGCCAAAGGAATCCCAGCTAATGTGGTACACGGTGAGGAGGGAGGGTGCAGACAACAGGGACATGGCTTTTTTCCTGTCAGTGTCACTGCCAAAGGTATTGCTGCTTAGCCTTTGGGGAAAATAAATACATTAAAAAAGGAATTGGGCCCTTTCATTCCTTTCATCCTTTCATTCACTCTGTTTCAGTCATTGTGAAATAACTGCATTAGGTCTTGGATTAACTTAAAAATAAATAAGAGGCATTTAACCTAAAATGGTTTTGTTGGGGGTGCTCTTTTGGCTAGAAAGGTATTAATTTGAACACTAAAGTGTAGCCTAAAATAAACGTCTGGAAATGGTATTTTTAGTGCATTAACATGACATTTTACTATGAAAACTAGACTGGCACAAAGTTCAGCTAAAACAGTCCAAATAGAATTAGCCTTTCTATCTGAAACTTGAAAAGGGAAACTATTTGGTAATGCACTTCTTCCTCTATTCTTTTGTTTTCCTTTCCTTCCAAATATACACAGCCTTAGGATAGTATAAATATACACAGTGAACTTTATTGTAAAATAATTGCAACACTTTATTGGTACAACACTTTCACCAGAAGAGTTATTAAACACTACAAGCAAACAAACTCTTGCTACCCGAAATTACTGACTCTGGGAGCTCCCAGCTACCCACTCAGACAACACAGGCTAAAACCCCTCAATACTAGTTCATGAAAGCAGAACTGGAGTGTTTTCTTCATTTTTCCTCTTGAAGAAAATCTATTCTGCAGTGGACTGGGAGGGAAACATCTCAAGCTTACAGCAGCCAGAAAGTTCTGCTACACCTGACTGCAGGCACACTGAGTGGTGGCGTGCCTGCCCTCACAGCTCCAGGGCTCTGCCCTGCTCACAGGGAGATGTGGGTAAAAGCAGAGTGGCAGTAACACTCTGTGCTGGGCTCCTTTGGGAAGTCTAGTGCCTGCACAGCACAGTTTCCAGAGGTTTCTTTAAAACAAAATAAAAGCCTACCAGCTACTAAAATAATTTCTTTGTTCTATGGTGCATATGGTGGAGGCTTTTCTCCAGGCAAGCAGTAAGTTGGTGTGTAGAGGGCTGGAGCATTCGGGGGAAGACCATAGCTGGAGCTGGACTGAGATGGAGGCTGAGTTTCTTCTGATAAGGAAATGTCAGTAGATGATGTTCCTGGAAAATTGCTGGCAGGCTGTATCAGACAAGGAAAAATAACTTCTTCAGTAAAGGATTACAACCCCATTGCAGCTTTGTGTTGTTTGCCATGTGTTACATATAAGCCCCACGATTAAATTTCTCATACATTGCAGCACAACATTGACTTCAGTTCTAAAGCACCTGCTTATGTGTAGCAATGATGGTGTCTAGTGAAACAAGAGATTCCATCTGTAACCCAAGTAATTTTTAATAGACATTGTGCAGACAGCTAGGCAATACAGCAGAACAGGAATTTCTGCAGGAAAAGATGCTTGGCTTCCTGGGTGAGGCACAGCACCTGACTGACTGATTAGGTTATGTGTAGCTGCTCCTTTCCAGGCCTCACTGTGAAATTTAAATTACCTCAGATGTAATTAATCTCAGTTATAATACTTGCATAATTATTTGCCAAATGCAGATCCCTCTTAAGAGAAAATTTTACAGGTGGACACGTGTCTCCCTCTTTGGCAGTCAGCTATGATGGGGATTTGCCTGAAAAAGGCACAATAAATAAACAGAGCTTGGGAAGTGGCCCATTTTCAGGAACAAGCAGGGTTCATGAAAACAAGAATGCATGCAGGGAATAATATTCTGGATAAAATCCTACTACTGCTTTAAATCAAGTTTTGTCACTAATTTCAAGAGGGTGAGGATTTTACTCCTTCTCTCATATGCCAGCATGCACCAGGCTATGGCCTTCAGCTGAAGACTTGGGCTCAGCTCCCCTCAGGTTCAGACTTTTAAGTGACCTTAAAGTGCCTGAAATTTAAAAACAAGATAAAGTAATCATGACATTTTTTTCAAGGAAAATGAAAAATCTGGGCAAGTGATGTTCCCTGCTGCTAAAAAAAATTAATAGCCACAATCTAGAAGGCCAGGGCCAGGGCAGGCCCTTGGATAATGACATTCCAGAGCTGTCCAGGGCTGGCAGACCCCATGCCAAGGTGTTTGCTTCCTCCATGGGGCTCCATGTGAGCAAGGGCTGCTGCCCTGGGTCAAACCCTCCTGGCAAGGAGAATGTTGTCCTGCATTTGTACCACACAGTGACTTAGTGAGTGAGAATGGGGACATCCCAGTGGGAAGGCTCGTTTATGCCCTTTAACTCTCTGAGGCAGTGCAGGTACACTGACAGACCTGCTAGATACATCACCTCCAAAATTAGGTGTTGTGGTTCTGGATTGGCTTGGGGTTTTATTTATTTTGGAGTAGTTGCTTCCCTCCCCTCTCAATCTGCAACCACTGCTTCCATCTGTTTGCCTGGAATTGTTTCTGCAGTGAGTTCTTTAGCAGGAAAAACTGGCAAAACCCATAACTGCTGTCATCACCACCAGTCCCTGCCCAGCTAATCAGGACCATTACCTGCCCAGCTGGCTGGCCTGTTACCAAGACTAGTTGTGGCTGAACTGTACCAGTAAGGGATGTATTATTTTGTTGGCACATGTCACAGTAAACAAAAGAAATGCTGGATGCATCCTTTTAAAATGCACTCTTGCTATCACCATTTCTTTTTGCCATTTTATTTAGAGATTATTTTATATTTATATTTATAGATTTATTTTATAGACTTTGCCTCTCTGGCAAGCATTTATTCAGTGAGATACTGGTTTCAGGACCAGGAATAAATGTCGTATATCTTTAACCTGAGATAATTCACAGGTGACTCTAAAGGGTAGATGAGCTCAGTCAAGGTCTTCTGCTCTGTGGACTGCTAAAACTTAAATTCAGTTTCCCACATCTAAGTGTACAGCCCTTTTGGGATGCCATGGGATATCCCAGATGTCTCTCTGCATGACCTGGGGACAATGGGACCTGAACCTGGACCCTCTCAGAGTAGCAGCAGGCGTCAGGTGGCTACTTGATCTCATTATCAGGCAGTACTAGATCCCTACATGCCAACAGCCCCTGTGTTCAGCCAGATGAATCCCAGACCCAGACTGGGATTAAGGACTACAACCATCTGAGCAGGGCTTGTGAGAGTCTGAATCCAGCAGCTTGAAGCTCTTAGATGGAACATGAAGACCTCGGACCTCCAGCTCCATGGATTCAGCCCACAGCTCCCAAGAAATGGAAGCAGATAACAGTTAAGCTTCTGGCTGTTCCTAATCATTCCTGCTTCCCTCATTCACAATTTGTACCTCTGAATAAGTTTATTATGATTTTTTAAAATTCATACACTGATGCAGAAATTACTTCTCTCCAAACTGCAACATAATGAGTTCATACATACAGGGAGATGGCTTGCTTTGACTTTTTTCCCCAGGAATAGAGTTAAGTTTTCCCATTGTTTCTTAGTAACCATCCCAGTGGATTCCAGTGTTTCTTACTAACATCTCCTGACTTGGGGACAGCTGGTGGTGTCTGCCTCTGAATGTTGTGAAAGTGAAGGAAGATAAAGGAACACACTTATTTGAAAAAGTAGAAATCTAAGAAAATAACAGTGTTTATTTTGGAGTGCAGATAAGAATTTGGGGTAAATGCAATGTATTTCTGTTTCTCAGTGGACACAGGACTGAACAGTCACTATGGATCCTCATGACTACTCACATGAATCTTTTCAGCTTAATTTCATGTGTTTCTACCCCCTTCTCTCTCTAGTCTTGGATATGCTAGCCTCATCAGCAGGTGAGAGTCCAAAGGACAGCCAGAGAAATCCTGAGGTCTGAGAAGAGACCAGAAAACTAGGCACAGACTAAGTCATCCCACAGGCAAACCTGGGAGCTGGGATCCTGTGCAGAGGACCTGCCTCTGCAGAGTTTGTACTGAGTAGCAGCCAATGCTTTTCTGATGGTGTGAGAAGGTGTGTGCCCGTCCTGTACCTGAAGAGGCAGTGGGTAGGACGGATAGGTAGAAATTGTTGCTGCAGAGGGGCAGAACCCAGCGTAGGTCAGGATCTGCTGGGCAGGATTGTACAAGATCTGAGGAGGAGGTGCAGCACTGAAGGCAATTTGGGACAGAGGTACCTGTTGAGCACACAAGATAACAATTTATCAGTCCAGTGTAGAGGAGGCTGGAGCAGGAGCTGCTCCTAACACAAGCAACAAGACATTTTAACAACTTTCTATTTTCCAACACAATACCAGTAGTACAAAAAACCAGCAGACAGAATGAGAGGAGGGTGTATCCGGAATGAATTTTCTGAGTAAAAATACACAGCTATTTTAATCTTCTTCCCTTGGAAAAAGGCTGCTGGTGCTTCCCTAGCAACAGTTACAGAAGCTCTGGCAGGACTCCAGATCCAAGACACCCTGAACTGCACAGTGTACAGCTTTGGCTGCCTCTTCTTATTCATCCAGCACCAAACACCAAGTCCTTCACCAGTTGCTGCAGGCTCCTTCCAATAGTAACAATCTGATGCCCTCAAGACTTTTTTTTCTCTGCTTTCCTACACAGATTTACCTAGATCTCCCTTTCCAGACCAGCTGCTCCTCTTTCACAGCTCACTCTCACTTGGGAAATGGAGTTCACTGCTGGCTCTCCAGCATCACTCACAATGTGCTTACCTCATTCCTACTGCAGAAAATCCTTCTCTCATGGCTTTATTGGCATGTCTTTTAATTACAAGGCAAAATGAAGTTTGAATGAAGAAGTAACAGCTCACATTAAAACAGCTAAAAAATCTTGGTCAGGAAGAAAGATCAAAACCTGAATGTGAAAGAGGGTTTGTGTTAAACTCTAAAACCCTGTGCCCTGTGCTATATAACAATTTGTGAAGGACAGCAGAGCAACAGAGCTCTGTGAAATATTTTCATGAGATAAATCCAGTGGTTTCTTTTATTTCCTTTGTTTTTGTTAGCAGATTCCTCCACATGAGAGAATGGAATTTTCACTGAAATAATAAAATATGGTAGTTGCCAGACAAATGCTGAAAGCAGCAGCTAGGATTTTTTTTTCACTTCCTTTCAAATTTATCAGTGGGAGATATAAACTACTGCACCCTCTGGAGACACTGTGAGATCTCTCTGTGATTGAGAAAGAAGTATAATAATTGTGTTTGTACATGGAAAACATCATCTAGGTCACTCATGTACCACATAAGGTTACTGAAAAATCTAGGCTTTAGTTTCCTGGGGAAATCTGGCATTTCAGGAGCTGGCATGGAGAAAGGCTGGGATCAAAACAGAGAGCTTATTTCATGAGAGAAGGCAAGTCTCTTATCTTCAAGGCACCCTCCTCAAAACGCTCTCATCTGCAAGGTACTCACCTTTCTACCTGCCCTGCTGGGTGGATAAGGTGGGGAGACATGAAAAGACACTGCCTCAGGAGCAGGGAGGAGCAGGTAACCTGCTTGCTTCAGACCCAAAGGTTTGGGGCCAGTGCACAGTGCGCCCTTCCTCCCTCAGAAGAGGGACAAAATCAGATCCCTCTGACATAAATGAGTCAAGAAACTTTACCCACAGATGTGAAATATAGATGCCTATTCTGCATCTGTCACCAAATTTCTGGTGTGGTCTCTTTGGATGCTGCTGTGTGACCCCCTTTGGCTTCTTCTCTTAAGAACCTCTCTCAGTCCTCTCACATTCCATCACCCCACAGAGCAATGCTCTCTAATTGCTAAGGATGAACATCTCAACAGTCCTAGAAGACAAATTTGGGGAGTCATCCACACCACACCTACTAATTCCAAGCACCTTATAATCATCCTATCTGGTCTCAGCCCAGGGCCAGCAACAATTTGTGGTTCCTGAAGCTGGTTGGATGCTTTTATCAAGTATTCCAGTAACTCTGTGTTAAATTACTCACCTAAAATACAGGGGTGGGTTGAGACATTCTAAACTGCATCAACACCCAAGTCAAAGAGATAAGGAGCTATGAACTAGCCAGGGAGTGCTTACAGTGCCAGCTCACTGGCCTCACACAGACCTGCCAGAGCATTTATGTCTGAGCTCCAGCTTCTTTTCACATCACCTGTAGCTGCATGAGTGCTAAGACATAAACCCATGGCAAGTAGCTCAGTAATTAGGGGCTCATTTTGCTTTCCTTTTTAGAGCAGGGTGAAGGAAGAGTAGAGGGGATAAAGCAATGCCATTTAATCTGTTGAGATTCCTTTAAGGACTGCAAGAAGGAGACTAATTAACAAATTTTAAAAGGCATCCCCTTCCCGCCCCCCCATTCTCCCCTCAGGACTATCAGTAGTTCAGATTAATGCAGCCCTAAACTTAGGGCAGGCAGATTCCTTGGCAAGGTGTGTCAGAAAAACATCCAGAAGTCATCAAATGAACACCAGGACAGAGAAGGGAGCTTCTAGATTAACTCCTCATCAGCAAGTGAAATTTTCTATGTAATTTTCTATGTAATTCTTTACCTGCAACTTCTGTAAGAAATAATCACATTATGTTATCATTTTGGGTATCTCAACTACATCTCTTGATGTAATATCTTGATCAGGTTTTTTTGTTAGAGGTGACTTTAAGGTAACTGCCTCCATGTCCTATATCCTAGCATGCTGTAGATCTTAAAAGGCTATCAGGGGAGTGTGCCAGGGTCTGCAGGGAATTTGTCACAAGGAAGAAAAGCCGAAATAACCAAAACAACACTTTTTTTTCCTGTCCAGGAAATATGATGGGTTTAAAGGAAAGGGCACTGTTTTGCAAACTCTCCCCTTTGTAACGTGGTTTGGCTGCCAGCATTCCCCAGAGATAAACATGATGTTTTTTGTTTGACTAGTCAGCCTGGCCTTGTGTTTTCTGGAAGTCAATCCCAAAGCAATGCTGTGAGGCATTTCAGGGGGCTTTGCAGTTCTCCCTGCAAAATGCCAGTGACCATTTATGTGAGAAGGTGACATCTTAAAGCAAAGTAAATAGTTCTCTCACATACTTTAAAGGGTTTTGGGTTTTTTTTCTCTTTTTATTTCGGTCCCATGCCCCTTTCCTTTCCTCTTCTACTTGATGTTTTCTTGGCCCCTGTCTTCCCCCAAGAATTACTCCTTTTGTAAGGAAAGGGAGCAGCAGATTAGCAAATTATTTCTGGTACTAACTCAAAAGAACCCTGAGAAAGCACAGGCAGGAGCAAGGAGCGGTCATTGCATTTTGGATTGCTGCTTTAGTAAGACTTTCACAAGCATAGCTGAGGTAACTGACACAAACTCATCTTTCCCTTGAACTATGACATCCTTTTCCTGCTCACACTCAGTGGAGATATTGAACAGCTTATTCAGATGAGGTTTTTAGCTGGAGCCCTGACAGACTCACTGCAGCTAAGCCTGGGGTCAAGCTGCACATCCACTGCTGCTGTGATTTCCCTCCATAGTTTTATGCCACCCAGTCAGAGGACCCAGACCACGACCCAGGCTCTGCCTCTCAGCAAGGGAATGTGCAGGATCATGGAGACTGCAGTTCTCCCAGGAACATCTCCTTGGCTTGATGTTCCTCACGAGCAGTGCAGTGATGGCCCTGCAAAGCACAGAGCTGTATCAAAGCATCAGTCCAAATCTCATGTAAGCTTAGGTTTGAGCAAGACAGGTTAGGTGCACTCAGGCTGGCTCTCTGCATGCTTCCCACAGCTGCACTCACACCCATCTGCTAGGCAGGAGAAAACACTTAGCGGTACTAAGCTGCAGTGCTCTCCCAAAAACTTGCTGTAGATGAGAGCTGCCTTCACTCCACATGCAAGCTGCTCTTCCCCTCATTTCATGGTTGTTTCTGTTCCCCTTCTCCTCCTCTCACAGGGAGGGGATGAATTAAGATGGGAAAATTACTTCTACTCCCTTTGGGCAGCTGCAACTCTTCAGTAGCTGGCTGCAATCTGTTACCAATTCCTTGCAGGAGTCCCCTGCACAAAGGAGAGCTCAGCTGCACATTTCTTACATGCTGGACAGAGGAATATTTCCAAGAAACATTGCAACTCTTAACAAAGGTGAATTTCAAACAATTCATACGGTCCTGCTCTACTTTAAACATGGTTTTAAGCACCCAACACATTGTAGATATCCTGGGCATGCTTCCTAAGGAATGCTGGGTGGTCAGAGCTGTCAGACCTGACGGCCTCGAGTCTGACTGGGTCTTTGGCTCCGAGTGGGTGCAAGTTCTGAGCAGCCCCTTCCTGCCAGTCTGCTCCCCCTCCTGTCCTGATGTACATCTCAGCTCTCTTGCCTTCTCTTTCCTGCTCTCTTTCTCTTTTTTTTTCATCTTACCCATCTTTCCATTTTCTTCTCTGCAACAGTGACCAGACACATAATGGATCTAAGATGCCCTGTGCTGCTATCACACCTCCCTTTGGTTGCTGCATTTCACCTCCATCTCCATGCCTCTGCCCATTTAGTTCTACTGCTCTCCTGAGAGCCTAGCAAATCATGAGCCCCTGGCCTGGTCTTCGGGCATTGCTTTAGCAAACAGGGCCACTGACAGTGATGATCCCAGGAACAGCAACTTCACCCTTTAACGTGTCAGTAAGTCCAGTCGAATGAGTGGGCTTTACTCCCACCACACAGTCTCTTCTGAATGCTGTGATGCACATCAACACAACACGGTGGTGTGGCACAGGGAGTAGTTAGAAGGTGGCATTCCTTACTGAAACAAAAGAGGATGTTGAAGTGTCCTGAGCACACAACTGTTTAAATAAAAATTTAACTGGTATTTCAGAATTCATCCCCATTCTTAGGGAAAAGAACTACACAAGGCTGAGCAGTCACACGTAGGACTTGACTTTTACATGTTAGCTACAAACTAGCATCCTCAAACTCCATGCTGCCCCACACATTAGTGGCCACTCACATCAGGGATGAATTAGAAGGGAAAAAAATATGCCACTAAGGGAATTGCCAGCATTTGTTCACACTGTTGTGGTATTTTTCTTCCATTCATGTATTTGACCGGGCTTGACCCACTTAGCTGTGAACAGCTGGCAACAGCTTTGCCTAAAGGTATAAATCCATGAGAGAGGCTGAATCGATGACTCAAAACATTCCCCCATTTGTTGAGACCCCAAGGGGCTCAGCTGAACTGGAGGAGGTGAACTTTTGGGTGTGTAATGGCTAAACCTCTGATCTGATAAGACACAGGGTGAATGATGGGCAGTGAGATAGGAGCTGGATCCTGTGGAGATGGATTGTTCCCATTGTCATGCTAATTTGTGCTCTCTAGCACAAACCACTGGGTTGTGGGGATCCCCCTCCTCCCCCCGGGGAAAGTACCAGGGAATTCAGGACTTTTGCCTGTGACCTCAGCATCTTTGTCTCTGCAGATGGGACATAACTGACTCAACTGCTGCTGGGATGGGCAGCTGTGCTGTCTTAGAAGGTGTCAAGGATTCCCAAAGCACCCCATAATTTACATTATTATGTTAAGCTGTCCGCCTAGTGGGAGGTACCTGAGCATTCCCACCTGAACCAGAGTGAATATAGACCCACTAGATGCTATGTTCTGGGGATTTCTCTCCACCACCAGACAGATGTGATCAGTGACCACCACTTTGACCAAGACTGCGCAGCAACCAAGTCTTGTCTCTTGTGGGTGGTGAGATCCTCACACTCCTGTCCCCCCATTCTCTCTCTCTCTCTCTTCCTTTCTCCTTGTGATGTGGTTGCAGTTTCATATTGCTATGTTTTAATCTTGTATTACAATAGATAATAACCCCCAAAATGGCTCCATAGCTGTTTTCCTTTGCTACCAAACTGGTCTGTAACAAACCCTACATTGTTTATTTAAAAGCAGTGACATTTAGTGTTGTTTCATTCCAATCTGCTCCAAGGGAGCTATTAACAAGAACCTGGGTTATACTCTTGGTACCTTCTGCGGTGGCTCATAACATTCCAGACTCCCACAACACCCAGGAAACACATTTAAAGCATCTCCTTTGTACATTTATACTTCCTTGGTCTTAACTAATTTAATAATGCCAACAAGCAGAAAGCCCTCACATAAGGCAAAAGACTGTGGGCCTTACCATGTCTTTAAATGCCCCGAGAATAGCTGCTGTGATAATCCCCAGGAACAAGCCGATGATGTTGAGGACTGTGGAGGACCACAACAGTCTGTACAGGTGGAGCACGTCCTGACAGCTGCTCACACCAAGAAATTCATAGTAGCTGGAGGACTGGTCTGAACTGAAAGAGAATGCAGACAATGTCACTGCAGTGGGAATGGTTTCACACACAACACAGAGCACTACAGAATCTGACTCCTTCCTGCTGGCTTTCCTCTTTGGCAAAGTACTACACCCATGCTCCCACCAAAAACTGCTCAGAAGAACTGGAGAAAGCCCTGCTGAAAAACTGGCTCTGCTAAGGCCAGTATCAAAGGTAATCCAACTAATACCAACCCTAGTTTGGCAGAGTGGTGATGATTACCAGCATGGACCCTTTATTTTTTTGTTCAGCGTCTCTAAAGAGAGGCATAATCTTGGTATATGGAGGCTGCCCTTTCCATTTAGCTACCAGATAAAGCTTGCTTAGCTTTGCTTTTTTTCCAGCTCACCTAGAAATCTGCTGGCATCTCAAAAATTGGGGAAGGCAAGCTGCTTAAGCATTTATTCAGCTACAGGAAGGGAGATATTGCCAGCTAGCTACATTTGTTTATGGTGTCTGTGGTTCCAAATTAATGTAGCACAGTACAGTATAAAGATGTCTTTACACTCGGGTTTGTACGATCCAGAAATCTTTGTTCATATTTCTACACCACATTGGTTATTGTAAATCAGGCATGTGGTGAAGTTACACCTCACTGTCTTGCCAAAAGCCAGAAATATCCTACTGCAAAATTTGAAACCACAGGTTCCTGTAGTTCTTTCCAGTACCTGCCCTAATTTCAGCCCACTAATGAGCTCCTAGGGCAGCTATTTGAATTGGAAAGATTTTTTAAATGCCAAGCCTGTTTTTCCACTGTTAGGAAATTGCCAAATTGCCATCAGATTATGGTGGAAACCAGAAGTGGGCAGTCTGTGTTCACTCTTCTGTTCCCCCATCCCCAGTGCATGGGCCAGCATGTGCACGTGTGGTTAGGGAAAGCTCTGCAGAGCAGTCCACAACATTTCTGAGAAGAACCAAGCCAGGCACAGTAACTTCTGGAAATATCCAATCAATGGCTTCAGTTCATGGTTCTGGCACTGAAGAACCACTACTGTTGAGATCACCTGGGCCCTGCCATGAGCCCATCTTAACTACTAAACCTACAGCTTCAGCTGCCATGAGGCTGAGGAAATTTGATTTACAATCCTACCTTCATATCAGTCTATTCTATGGCTGATAACAAATCACTTTGTGGGCCTGTGCCTCCTCCTACTTCTCTCTAGCCAGGCTGTGAACTGGAATTGCCAAGTCTCCAGAGCAGCATGACTGCTTGTTTACCCTGGATTCGTCCATGCCAGTGCCATAAGATCTTGCTGTCCACTGTAGAATGTTGACAATAGCAGAACACACACATTTAATATATCATTGGATAACATCACAGCAGTGAACAGTCCCAAGTGTTTCAAACAAACTCAATGTCTTAGAAAAATGGCACTGAGGATCCCCATCTGAAAGGGAAATATGCCTGATCTCTCCTTGTGGTTACTTTAAGCAACTGTTTCAGTCACTTTTTTTGACAACTCCAGATACTTTCACCCCTTTAACTGCCCTGTTCTTTTCTGTGTTGAGTTGGGCTGTTTGGTTCAGTGTTAACGTGCAGGCATTAGCTGTGTACTACAGAAGGAAGCATTCTCACATATTGCATTGCAAATACAATGTTCCATCATCTGTCTGTCACAAAAAAGGTACCAAAATTCAGCAGTCTCTACCTTTCCCAAGACTCTACATAGGATTTTAATCAATTTCATAGACCATTCACTCTGTGTCTCCCATCTGCATAAATCACTTCCCTCTGGCCCCAAATGTTCTTTTACTTCTCTAGCTGGGATATCACCTGGCTAAAAGCTTTTTCATGCAGAAGCCTTGTGTAGAAGCTCGATTGTTCCCACCTTGTTTCCCTACACCTAAAATATTTGTGTCTGGCATCATACAAGCCAAGTCCTACAGAGGACTGGGGTTATTCAGGGCTGCTAGCATGTGAAGAGGAGGCAAAACCAAAATAAAATAGGTGTAGGAAGGAAGAAAGATGAGAAATATACAGGGGGGAAGAAGGAAAAGTGACTGTGGCTGAACTGTAGAGGGTTGCAGAGATTGCACCAGAGTGCATAGCAAAATGATATACAAGGGCAGGTAGAGATAAGACAAGGGAGAATGGTTTGAAACAAAACGAGGGAAGATTTAGATATTAGGAAGAAATTTCTCAGAGTGAGGGTGGTGAGACAGTGGAACAGATTGCCCAGAGAAATTGTGGATGTCCCATTAGTGGAAGTGTTCAAGGCCAGATTGGATGAGGCTCTGAGCAGCCTGGTCCAGTGGAAGGTATCCCAGCCCATGGCAGGGAAGTTGGAACCAGATGGTCTTGAAGGTCCCTTCCAACCCAAACCATTCTGTTATTTTATGACAGTGACATGTGCTAAGGGTGAGCCAAGCAGAAGATTCAGTAAATCTAATGGTAAAAATGCATTGCCAGACCAACAGTATATCTGAACAGGGATGTAACTGAGTGATCAGCTTTGATCACACAGCAAAAAAATTATGGGCATATTCAAAGAAAAAGAAACTGAAATAATATCAGCAGTAATGAACAACTCCTGACATACTTTGTGCTGGCATCAGGACTTCAGTTGCAGAGGAACTGGATTTCTCAGCACACAAGCTCCCTGTGTTACTTCTTCAGGCCCTACCAGTTACAAGTAAGGACAACCAACCAAGAATTTTTCAGAGGCCACAGAATGCACACAGGTACTTACTTCTCACAGTTGTACAGATCACAGCAATAGCATGTGTTACTCTTCACTTTCAGCTGGCACTTGCTGTTTAAGGTATGACATGTAACCTGCCAAAAAAGCAGAAACTTACTTTTATGCTCAATGTTTCAGGGTTGTGTGAATCATCCTACTGTACTGACCGCAAAAAAAAAAAAAAAAAAAAAAAGAAAAAAAAAAAAAAAAAAAAACCCAAAAAAAAAAAAACCAAAAAAAACCAAACCAAACCAAACCGTTTTTTTTTTTTTCCCTGAGAGTTTTACAACATGTGTTTAAAAAAAGATTGTCAAGTTGTATTACCAGTTGTGCAGAAAGATCCTGGGATTCCAAAATTCATGACTGGAAGCCAGAGGCAATCCCTGAGCTCACAGGAGTGAGTCTGAGGGAATTTTCGCTATGGAGCCCAGGGCTCCCAGGACCAGCCTGCAGCCAGGGCTGCCAGAGTTTTCAAGCACTTTGTTGCATTGCCTGGTGCTATTCTGCTGAGACTCAGAGTGTGCAGCCAGGAGACTCAGATCTCTACAGCTGTGACAAGCTGACTGTGGTCTGGAGAGATACACTACAGCAAACACTGGAGTGGATAAGAGAACGACTCTGTTATAGTGGGGAAATGGCAAGGGAGCCAATTTATCTGAACAGCTTCCAATAAATGGGAGCTCTCCCCTTTCAGTGAAACCCTCCTGAAGAAGGAAGTAATTATGGACAACAGCAAGAATAATCTTCAAACCCACAAACAGAATAATTCAGAAAAGACCCAAGCACTCCAGCAAATAAGTCCCATTTATTGCAGGCTCTCGAATTCAAAACTGGAAAGGTTTATTTATGTGAGGAGGAATTGCAGGGATGGACAGATGTTAGAACAATAAAGGCAGGCACACGTAAGCCACTCTCCATCCAGACACAAAATCATTTTAATGACTCCTTAAGTATGGTAAGCATTAATCACTTCTATTTGGCACTACAGACCAATTGAAATACTTTATATATAAGGTTTTGGAGCTGGTTTTTTTTTTTTTCCCTGAGAGTTTTAGCTTATTGACTTTGAAATCCTGGAGAGCTGTCAGGTTTTAAAAGCTAGCAGTCAGAAAATACATTATTTCTACAGCTTTTATTTGATATGAAAAAAATCTCTGTAACCACTGAGAACTATTTTATTCACAAAATGCAATTAAAATATATTATTGAATGGAAAACTCCTCATAGTGAAAAAGTAGAAGGAGCATGCATAGGAATACATGCCTGCTTTTGACAAGTTTATCAGACAGCTCTGGCTTAGCCACGAATGTGTTACTCGTTGGAATAGTCCACAAGAGATGTTAAACTAGATGTTTCTCATTTCCTAAGTCCTGGATCTGTGTATCCTTTTAGTATGAAAACTGCCACTGTTGATAAGCCTGTACTCCTCATGTGCTTGTTCCCAGAAAAAAGGAAAGCCTTAAGCACACACACTCAGCAACAGAGCAAGTTCATCTCACAACCGGTCTCCAACTTGCCACACTTGTCCTTAGCAGGATTTGATCAAGCAGTGGAAGATGGGTGACAAAACTAATGTCAGAAGAAGATTTAAATGATTCCTTGGAACTGCTTTGCTGCTCAGGACAAGGCTGTACCTGTGGTTAGTGTCTCATACAAATCAGCTCTTCTATCCCAAAATGGTAGGTTATAACAGGACAGTCTCAGTCTAGGATGCCATCTGGAAATGGAGCTCACAGTTTGATACAGACACATCCCACTTGTCACAAGGACATCTCACCCTGAGACAGGACCTTGTTTCACCACCATTGCTCTGCAGAAGAGGAGCACTTACTGACACTGACAGCTTAATCAAGGCAGTGACTGAACCATCCCACATGGCTACTTCTCAAAGCAGGTTGAAAACCAATCCTGGAGCACAGCCTGGAGCAAATCCCTCAGCCATTTTGTTGGATGCCCTATACTTTTGCATTCAGTGGATCTTCAGACTTTGGTTTTGACCTCCTGTATGCAGTGAAAATGGCCCAGGACCCACAGAGTTAAAACACCCTTTTCCCATCACATATGCATGATTGGGATAGGAGGGCTTTATAAGATGGAATGGGCTGCAAAGAAGTGGTTTGATCTGATGCATGGTTTGGGGACCACTTCTGATAGGAAATAAAAGTAGTTTTCTCTCTCCAAGCAATAATAAAGCCAGTCTGCCTGTTCTAATGGAGAAGGCTAGAAGTACAAAACAGGGAGATCAGCATGACCTTAAACATGTTTTTGGCTGCTTCTACACTATCAGACACATATTATTGGCCAAGGAAGTTACTGTAGTTATCTATTTTTATCACTGCATTTTTAAAACATGCATAGCACAAGACACTCCTTTTTAGGAGAGCAGTGAATAAACCAAAATAAACAAATTAGTGTGTGGTGTGAGCAAGGGTGGTGGAAACAGGCCGTTTGTGGGTGTTCTGCATGTCAAGACCTATTATTTCATTTCAGTGACCAGACACACAGCTTTTTCATGTCCTGGACATTTGTTTGTGATTTATTCTCTCCTCAACACCAACTGAAGATATGTTCTCTTGTAATGGTAATTGCCAGTAAATCAAATTCTTTCTGCTTTGAGCAAAGAGAACAGAAACAGGCAGACCAAATGAGCTAGAGATGGTTTACAGGTGAGAGATGTCAATCAAAAGGAAACTTGCAGTCAGTAAACAATCTGCTTTCCTAGTTAAATGTTTGCCTGGCATGCAGAGCATGTCCCCTGCTCACTACCTGGCAACCTCTGGAAAAGCAAAAGCTAAGTATAAATGCTATGAATTCTTAACTCTGAATTAGTATGCACTGACTCTAAATCAGTGAACAACCAGACAAGAATGTTATTACAAACTACCTACGCTTCTAAAAGATACGGGGTTTGGTTTTTTTCCAGAATAGAGGAAGGAGCTCTGGGTGGCCCAAGTTTAGACATTCCCAGAACCAGCAGAGCTGTGGAAAACCATCTGGCCAGAAGCCTGAAGCTGGGGTCACCTGCAAGGAATTGTGGTCAGTGGGGCACCAACCACATTCTCATTACAGGAATCAGAAGCATTTCTCAGGCCATGTCTGAGTCTGAGTGTGCATGCACACTTTAGAAGAGGAAGGAGTAAATCTTACAGGAAAGGGTGCTGTCACACTTAAGAACTTTGTCTGGGTCGGTCTTCTACATGAGATCAGTGAAATATTTTTGCCATACATTTTCTGGAATCGACAGCAGAATGCCCTAGCAGCAAGACTTAAGGAGTTGCTTAACCTGGTAGCATATTTTGCTAAGCTTTCTAGAAATATTAGTGGTACCATTCCCCATACACCTTTTGCTAGCCTTTGCAGGAATGGTGACAAAAAACTAAAAGTTATACCACTGTTTAGCTGTTCTCCATTTCGCTTTTCTACTCACTTCCACCAATTTACCACAATAATAAAATAGGAAAAGAAACTAAATCTGGACTTCTCAGGAAGCTGGCCATTTGGATATGGGCACTTTCCTGACCATGTTAATGTCATTGAGATAATAAAAATGCTGCATTCAAATACTAATGTTTTTGACCTATGCTGGATAAATACAGAGATTTGAAGTCTTCTGGATGATACGAATGGATTAATTTAGATATTTCCTATTCCACTTGGAGTCTATAAAAGCCTTCTTAGAGGAAGATGCCAATGTGACAAACACATTCCAGACAGTTATTCTACAGCATGGATGGACTAGGAATCATTCCAACCCCAGAGTAAAGTACTGGATACAAACACTGATGATGACTCAAAACTGCACTGACTAGTGATTTTAAATCATCAGAAGCTTGGACAAGCAGGGAGTAATTCGTAGGAGAAAAACAATGGCATTTCTATCTATCCATGATCTACATGCATGAACATGCTCTCAAACATCTCCCTTGCTCCTCTCCAGCACAGCAGAAATGAACACATGATGAGGTGAATTTGTTTACCTCAGTCTGGTAGGCATCATATAGGAATCCTATTCCACTTGAATAAAACTGGCATCTTTTGTTATACAGAGGTCTGGGTTCCTGTAAAGAGAAAAACAGCCAAAAAAGTGATTGGTTTGGAGGAAGTGGAAGGCACTATGTCCCATGTCCCCATGAAGATGCTTACAGCTCTGTGGAGCTGAAGCAATTGCAGTCACTTGGGTAAAAGGCCCACACCCCCTGTGTTGACTTTCTTTTTGGAATGGCTCTCCTCAGGGCTACATTTTCCATCCTCACTCCACCACTAAGCTATGTGAGTATCATCTATTTTTCTCTCAAAGACATCACCTCTGGCATTTAACCACTTGACGTCATTTAACCACACTCAACGTCAAATAGTACTGCTCGGACAATGGTCCAGTCATTCTTTTTTCTGTAACAGCTTCTTACCTAAGAACCAAGATCAATTTTGCAGGTTGTTTTCAAGATATGGGACTTTCTTTTTAAAGAATTTCAACAAAGTCCATGAAAACAAAGTAAAGTAGATAATAGTTTGAGTAATCCACTTATAATACACACCTCAAACCCCAGAAGTAAAAAAAAGAATAATGAAGAAATTGAGGCATAAAGGGAAAGCAATTTACATTGTTTGGTTTTGCCTTATTTTCCATTTATGCTATTGTAAAAGATGCATTCACTGCTCATATTTCATATTTTGCTTGTAACAGTTCCCACAAACTGATACAAAGGAAGAAAAAATGAAATATCCTCAGCCAGATGGAAAATGTGTGCTTCTGACCTTGGCAAACAGCCACTTTGAAGCCTGGAGGGTGCATACCAGGCTCAGTCAGTTTCAGGACTAGACCATATTTGTTTTGGGAGGATTTGACAACTTGAGTCCTCCGTGATCCAATATCTATCCCAAAGCAGTGTCGGAATTACTTATGTTTGAAAAAAAACCCAAACTTTTTCAACTTTCCATCACTTATCTAGTCCTGGTCTGTGCCTTCAAAGATGTGAAGAGCTGGGAGTGTGTGTCAGTCTGTTGGAAGGTAGGAGGGCTCTGCAGAGAGACCAGGAATGTTTGGATGGATGGGCAGAGTCCAATAAGTTTAACAAGTCCCAGTGCCGAGTCCTGCATTTTGGCCACAATAACCCCCTGCAGCAAGAAGGTGGTGGAGTCACCATCCCTGGATGTGTTTAAAAAAAGATTTGATGTGGCACTCAGTGCCATGGTTTAGTTGGGCTGTTAGGGCATGGGTTGGACTGATGATCTTGAAGGTCTCTTCCAACCTAGTGATTCTGTGATTCTGTGATTCTGTGATTCTGTGGAAGCACTCAAGTGCTCATTGATCCTCGGTAAGTCAGTCAGACCAGATCCAAGACAGAAGATGCAAACCCACTATCTGCCATCCCCTCTTTCCATGCCAACTTACAAGCAAAGGACTATTTCAGTTGTTAGCAGAAATCTTCACTGATTAACTTATACTGCATTTTAAAGCTTTAAAATCCATCCAGGAATAACCCAGATTTTGCATAAAGATCTGCACTACTTCAGCTCACAAGCAGAGTATTCTTTGCTTGTTGGATAATGAAGTGTGAACTGTATAAATCTGCTGATCCAAAATACATAATTAGTTAAAATGCAGAGCTAGGCAGGAATGCAGAGAGATCAATGAAAAAAGCCCTCCATCAGCTTGTTTGTCTTTCTGATTACTCCAGCGAACTTAAGCAAGTTTGGACACCAACTCTCTAGGGTTAAAGAAAGGTTAGCTTCCTGCATCCAAAAATATTTATTTATACTACACAAGTGTAAGGAAAAAAGCTTCAGTAAATCTTCTTCTCTAGAGGAAAAGCAAATACCACACGAACAGCATGCCATGTCTTGAACTAGGTCAACATTCTTCCACAGTCCTGGGAAAGCATTAGCCTTTAGCCATGACTTCCAGGGACAAATCTGGTTGGGAGGTCTAAGAGAATTGCAGTTCCTCTGCCAGAACAAGGAGCTGACAAGGAGAGGAGCTCTGCTGGACTTCATAGTTACAAACAAGGAAAGATTGCTCAGGGATGTGAAGGTCAAGGGCAGCCTTTTCCCTAATGTTATGAAATCTGGAAAGGATGAAGCATGATTCCCACTCTGGACTTGAAGAAAGGAGACTTTGGCTTACTCAGTGATATGTTTGGAAGAATCCTATGGGATACCATCCTGGAAAGCAATGAGGCCCAGGAAAGTGGGTTGATATTCAAGGTTCATCTCCTCCAAAATGAGAAACAGTTCATTCTCTCTAACAGGAAATCAAGCAAAGGCAGCATGAGGCCTGTGTGGACAAACAAGGAGTTCCAGATGTATCTCGGACATGAAAAGGAAGTCTACAAGAAGTGCAATAAAGGGGAAATCACCAGGGAGGAAAATAGAAAAATTATATGAGAATGCACGGATGGGGTATAAGAAAGCCAAAGCTCTCTTGGAATTCTGTCCAGCAAGGACAGGAAGAAGGGCTTCTATTGGGTGTATTAGCAGCAAAAGGGAAATCAGGAAAATATGTGCACATTACTGAATAAGGCAGACAACATAGTACAAAGACGTGGTAAAGATCAAAGTATTCAGTGCCTTCTTTGCCTTGGTCCACAGTGGAGACCTGTGGAAAAAATTGGCATAAGAAAGAATTACCCTTGCTAAAGGGGGATCAGTATACAGAACCTTTAAGCAGACTGGAGATACATCCTGTCTTCAAGGATGACAAGAAAGACAATCAAGGGAACTACACCCTGATGGGAAGGGATGGAGCAAATAATCTTGGAAACTATTTCCAAACATCTCAAGGACATGAAGGCAATTTGGAGTAGTCAGCATGGATTTACAAAGGGAGAGTCACGTCTGACCCACCTGTTGACCTTCTACAAGAATGTGACTAGCTTGGTGGATGAGTAGAGCCTCTTGCTCACCTGCTTCTGGATCTTTATCTTCACTAATCCCTCTGGCAGTCTCTCATTCTCACAAACAAGCTGATTAAATAAGGGCTAATTAACTGGAGAGTGAGGCGGACTGAAAGCTGGCAGAACTGCTGAGGTCATCGTGCTGGGAGCAGTGACATGAAGTCCAGCTGGAGGTGACTTGATAGTTGTCTACCCCTAGGGTCCGTGCTAGGACAATATTGTGTAGGACCTCAATTACTGAACTGGGTGATGGGTAGAGTGCAGCCTCTGCTAGCTGGCGGATGATACAAAACTGGGATGAGTGGCTGAAACACCACAGGACAGTGTCATTATTCAGAGAGACCTGGGCTGGAGAACTGACCCACAGGAACCTCAACAAGTACAGTACAGGAAAATGTCAAATCCTGCACGTGGGGAGGAATAATCCCATGCACCAGAAAAGAGTGGGGCCTGACTGTCTGGAGAGCAGCTTTACAGAGGGTCCTGGTGGGTAGCAAGTTAAACATGAGCCGGCAATGTGTCCTTGTGGCAAGAAAAGCCAGCAGTATTCATGACTGCATTACAAAGAGCACCACCAGCAGGCTCAGGAAGGTGATCCCTCCTCTTAACACTGGTGAGACACATCTGGAATACTGGGTAAAGCGCTGGGCTCCCCAGTATGATAGAGGCCACAGACATGGTCTGTGAATTAACAGACTGGAGTATCTGTCACAAGAGAAGCAGAGTTGGGACTGTTCAGCCTAGAGAAGAGAAGGTTCCCATGTACCTTATCAATATGGATCAATACTTGATGGGGAAGTTAAGAAGATGGAGCCACATTTCTCTCAGTAATGTCCAGAAAAATGACAAGATGCAGTGGGCACAAACTGAAATATGGGAAATTCCATTTAAACATAGGAAGAACCTTTTTTTATTCTGTGGGTGATTAAACACTGGAACGAGTTTCCCAGAGTGGTTGTGGAGTCTCCATCCTTGGAGATGCTCAAACTGGACACAGTTCTGAGCCACCTGTGCTAGGTGACACTTCTCTAAGCACAGGTGGTTGGATTAGAAATCTCCAGAGGTTCTGCCCAGTCTCAGCAACTCTGATTCTGTGAAGAGGGTCAGAGTCTATGTCAGGCTATGAGCAGACTAATAAGTTCTCTCAAAGTATCATAGGTTATGAGTTTAGCACCTGGAGACATGCTCCCTGGCCTTACCTTTGGGTCATTCACATCTTACTACAGGTTGTTGATGAGTGACACCACCACATCACACTATGAGGCTGAGTCTGACCCTGAATGCTAAGATACTCCCCTCAGACACCTCTGTCTATTCTTAAAGGCAGTGAGAGAGCTGTCTAGTCTCCCTCCATTAAATACAGAAAGATCCTCACTTTTGACCCTGATCTCTTGGCTTACACAGTTTTTCTACCTCTTACACTTTCTTCCTCTTAAAAAATAAATTGGTCCTTTTATTGGTTTGGTTTTCAATGGAGAAGACAAGCACACTTTTCACCCAAGTGTGCTTGTGACTGGAGGCAACACTGTTCTCTGAGGAAAGAGGTGATTGATTAATCCATACCAGCTATTATGGCTTGATATTGCTGTGCAGCAAAGGGTGAGAGCTGTGACTTGGAAGCAACCACAGTGAATACATTTATTACATTTGCTTGCACAATCATGGCAAACGAATACCTTCCTTCGTGCACCTAATTTTGAACAGCAAGCCTGCTGCACTAGTACAGCCAGTCTTCTGCATTCAGTCCATTCTCTAAATGCACCCCCATGTGCAATGAAATAAATGAGTGATGATCAAGTGTACAAAAATAACAAAGATTAGATAGCATTGGCCTTGTCCAGACACCTACAGAATTTAACACCTAAAGCACACAGCTTTTAAGTAAAGGCACCCTGGAGATGCCAAAAGGTTGCATTGGTAAAAGCTTCCATTTTCGTGCTACAGACGTGCTGTGGTCTGTCTGTCTGCTAAGGTATTTATATGAATAAGGCACCACACAGATATTAAAAAGTGCTTAAAAGTTATCCAACAGTAGGTAACACCACATAAGTGGACTTTATAGGCGTGTCTCTTACCAAAGGCAAATGAGGCATACTTTAAAGCTATAAAAGTTTTCCTGACAGACTGGTCTTAAAATACCTCACATTGCTCACAACAGACTGTGC